TAGCGGCGGAAGCCGCCACGGTTCTCTTCACGTTCGTTCTGTTGGCACGGGCGGATACGCTGCCGGCTATCGAGGAACTCTCGCTACCACCCTCGCTGGTGCCTTCGCCACCTGTGGTTAACCTGACGTCGTCGGGCAAAGTCGCGCAGGGGTCCTCGTACACCGAGCAACAGCTCACCAAACTGGAATCGCAGGAAGCTTCGTCCAGACCTCCGCAACTGCTCGCGTAGTCTATGCTGTTTCGACTTCGTACCTGAAATTAATTGGGAACTTAATTTCGATTCTGATCATGGAGAAATAACGCGTTTCTTAATTAGTATCGAGCCTTTCGCGGGTTATTCTTAATGACGTTGACTATTCTTAATTAAGTTGTCGCATAAGCAGATCCGACACGATTCGAAGTACGACAACTATGAAAAAACTTAATCGACTGGATTTTATGAGAAATACACTGAACATAGAGAAATGAATCCCAAGATGTAAATAATTGAACATGGCACGACTCGCCTCGTTTTCCACGAATAAGCAACCCCTCCGATCGATCCTTACCCTGGGGACTTCGGTGGCACAACCTTCCACTCCACTGTCGCTACCGTCCTTGCTGTCTTTCCCTTCGTTCCCATAATCCTTCCTGTTGTCACCGTTTAAAGCTCCGTCGGATTTAGCTGTTTCAGAATCGGTCACATGGATCACGGTGATATTGCACTCGCTGTTGATGGTAGAGTTCGCGTCCTCTTCGGGTAACAGCTTGTTCGTGTCAACCATCGGCGAGGCTAGATCCTCCGGTACACCAGAGTCTTGTCTAGCCACATTCTGCACCGAAGACACTTTCAGACTGTTCTCCTCGAGAGGAGTCTCCATTTCGAGACTCGTTGGCTCGTTGCTCGGTGAAACGCTCATTTTCTGGCCATTCTGAAAATGTACAAGTGTTCGGTCAGTTTGACATTACCAATAGAAGCAATTGGTATCGATGAGTTCAGATCTAATTTAGAAGATTGCGACGTGCTATAACGAGGCGCTGGGTTCAACAGGCGCTCAGTTTTATTACCACGCGCTGTATTCCCTACCGCGTTGTGTCCCCTTCGCGCCGTACTTTCCACGCGTTGTGTTCCACAAATGCTGCGTTCCATACGCGTTCTGTTAACTACGCGCTGTGTTCCCTATACATTGTATTCTCCACGGATCGTATTCCCCACATAGTATATTTCCTCCAGGTTATGTCACCTCACGTCAGGAATAGTAACACGACAAATACAGCGAGGTGTTCGATAAAATGTAATTTGGGAAATAGAGAACGGCAGAACTGAAAGGACTAGTCACGGTCGAAGTAACAAAGCACGGTCAGTCTGGACGGACGACCGGAATCGATGAAGCAATTAAAATCCGGATTTTGACCATGGAACGGCAATCACCGCGATATTCGATTATCGAGGATAATATCCGTTCGCCGAAAATGAGAATACAGGAGGTATTCACGGGCCTTAAACCAACTACCACGAACGATTAATGCTGATTTTAATCGTTTGATCAACTTCCTGAACAGCGAAATTACTCGGTTGTTAAATTGTCTCGAATCAAAGCAAGTGGATGACAACTATGCTGTTACGTAAAAAATATATGCAACAGGAGATTTATGTAATATATCGAAGGAACGTGTGAAGTTAGCTCTTTTCGAGAGCAAAAGTTGCTCTCCCTCATTTCCGCCTGTGATCTTTCGGTATCACTGTCTTCCTCGCCCCCCTCTTTCCTTCTGTACCTCTCTCTTTCCCTCCTCGACGCTATTACGTACTTTAATCGTAATCGACGAAGAACACATCGCGTCACCGAGCGGTGTTCCCCCTTTTTATAACACGCTTCAATCGTGTAAAACGCGTTTCGAGTGCTGCTTATCGCAAGTATATGCTCCCTGCCGTACGATCCCCCCCTCCTATCTTCGATCATTTTATATCTCCAATATCATTCGCTGCAGACTACCAGAATTCAAATCGTTCGACCACTTTCATCTGTAATGTGAAGCTTTCTTTATATGTTCAAAATTTATACATTTTATTTTTTAATGCGAAGATCCTAATGTTTATACAGGTAGATATTTTCGGTAATAATATAACATACATAATACATAATAAATTTATTTAAACATAAATTCTTATCATACTATACAATGTAGGAATACAGTAAATTTTCACTCTAACGAAAAATATCTAAATGCAGTTCAGTTTCGTTACATTGAACATTATTATTGAACATTGTATTATTTAACTACATAATAAATGCAATTAAATTCCACTGTACAATTGTTCTACAGAAAAACTTGGTACATACATGCAAGAAATATATGCAGTACGTGTATGGAATTGATAATCATGTATGCCATTCGTAAAAAAATGTTATCGGCGCATGCCAGACAAACACTGTACAACTTAATTCGCGGTACTCGAAGATAATTGTAAAATATCGAAAGCCGAATCGATGACGCGTTGAATGATCGTGGAAAGGAAGTCCCCGGATAAGAGCGCGAAACTTATCGAGCGAAGGCGGTATATAGAGAGCGCAACGTCGACGAGCTCGCGATAGTCGTTCCTGACCGTGGTAATCGGCAAGAAACGCGGCCGAGAACTCTAAAAACGGTCTAGCAGCTGCAAGGTCTCGGGAAGTCCCGAAAGCGACGAGGCCGGCAGGCAACGTTCGTTCGTTCAGCGGCGAGTCCACTCGAACAATCGCGACCACGGCCACGGCGTCGCGACGCTCTTGCTTCCAGCCATATCCGAGCGTTCGTCAAAGAAGGTCTTCCTCCGCGATCTTTTATTCCTTTCAAAATTTTCTTCCTCCGTAAAGGAAGGGACGATTATCGATTCGTCGTGCAATCTATTCGAGGAGAAAACCGGGTTCCATGTATCGAACTTTGTGTAGTTGAATAGAACCGGAGAATCGTTGGATAATAGCGTAAGAAGAGAGAAGTTGAACCCAGGATTTTGTTTGTCGAAAAACGTAGAGAACGTTAGAGATATCGATCTCTATAATAGAACGCGGCTCTTCTGAATTGTAACGAGTGAAAGAAGACAGAAGACGTTCAAGTGAAATACGTAGCTCTTGTTAGAGGAGTCATTTTTATTTTATAGGAATATCAAGGTGAGTTTACATTTGGAATTTCGTGTCCTGAATAAATTTTCAAGAGAAACATTTCGTTCCATTCTTGAACATTGCTACGGTAGAAATATCGGTAGAAGTCTAGGTATATCGGGGTCTAGGAAGATTTGGTATCTGGGGAGAGATTTCGGATCTAGACAGAATTGGGATCTAAGGAGATTGGAACCTAGTGAAAATAAAGAATTTAAAAGTAGAAAAGAAGCGTTGAAATTGACAAGTTTCACGTCCTACATGATTCGATTAAACACATCACCGAAATCGCTTACTAAGCCTCTAATTTTGTTCGTTATTCCAGCAATTGAAGGAGGAAAAGCTTGAGAAATACCAAAGCTGAGGGGATACCCCTTTCAAAACAATCGAAGAATCTTACTCGGAATCACCGTGATTAGCAATTATTGTCAAAGAAATACTTGGAAGACCGTAATCGATAAATCGTTCAATCACCGTCTATCTCCGATCTAACGAGACACTTGTTTATTAAACGATTCTAAATCACCTGCAGAATCGTTAGGAGAGATACGATCTTCCATCGATTATCGAAATGTGCGAACAGGAGGTGAAAAAGATCTGCGGAGACGGTCTCTCGTTAAAAATGCATTCGAATAAAGAAATCCTGGAGATCACCGGGGACGGGTGCAGTATCAGCATGGCGAAAAATTGCGGGAGCGTGAAGATCATAGGCGACGGATGCCGATTGAGGATCGATCACAACGTGGGCGACGTGGAGTACACCGGCGACGGTGGCTGGGTGCTGCTGGGCGCGAAATCCGACAAGAATAAAGTGAAGTACACCGGCGATGGCGGTAAAATCAGTGTACAGGGCGACAGGGAATCCAGGAAGAACCGGAAACAACCTTGCGAAGATGAAAAGAATACGGAGAGAGAGGAGAGGTCCAAGGAGAAGACGGAAAACATTCTGAACAGCAGGAAGGAGAAGAAAGAGGCGGGAAGAAAGGAGAAGAAGGTTGTTAGGATCGTTACGACGTTTCAGTTCAACGAAAAGATTGCGGAAAAGTGTTTCACGAATTCGGACAGGGTGAGGTGTTTCGACGGGGCTTCCTTCGTCGAGATCGTGCCGAAGCAGACCAAAACGATCATCGAGGTTAAATGAGAGGAAATTTTTCAACGTGATTTCGATGGTTCTTGGAATTTTTCGAATAGGGGACAATTCGGGGTAAAAATGAAAAATTAAAGAATTTCATGATTTTTAATAACATTTTAGAGTAATTGTTTTAGAGTCTGATTCTTCTATCAATTTAGAGCGGGAAATTCAAAATAGGAAGCGTCAACTTGCAGCAAGTATTAAAGTTCAAATTTTCGAGTCACTGTAGAGTCTGATCCTTCGATGAATTTAGAGCGGGAAATCGGAAGAATGAACTTGTAACGAGTATTAAACATTTTAGCCACTGTCGTGTCTGATCTAAAGTTCCTATACGCAAGACTATTACAAGCCATGAAACACGTGTTTCCGTAAATATTTCAATAACGACTTTCTAACAAGTTTTCGTACACAACTCAGGGATTAAAGAAAAATGTTGCATTTTTTGTTGCAACAGTTCGGAATTTGAAATTATTTATCTAGCGCTTTTAAAGGAAACACGTGTCGAGTAATGAACTTGCGCGTTAGATATCTTATTCAATGTTGTATTTTCTAGTTAAGTTAAAAGTTCGCCGATAAGCCATATTTATTTCTAATTACCGAACACACGACATTAGTATTCTTTTCCCACATAATTATTGTTATTAGAGAATGCCGTTTTAGTTAGTATTCTTTATGCTTCTAAGTATTTCATTCGTACTTTCATTTATTTATTTCATCACGATTGTTAGCGACGGTATTTCGCTAAGCATTCATTTTATGAAGTTTCAATAAAAGGATACAATAAAAAGTTTCGAAATAAATATTGGAAATATTGAATAATATTTAGATATTGTTAGAAGTTATTCAGATAACCTAGAACTTCGACAACCTTCGAATTCTTTACCCTGGAATATCGCTCCACGTGCGCGAGTGTACAAATCGAAACACGTGACTCGTCAACGACAAAGTATTACGAGAAATTCATTAACATAATTGCGTAATTAAACTCGGGTTAAAGTAACGAATTATTATCGTCGAGGTAACATTCAATTTCTGCGTTGTTCACTCGGTTTTAATCTACATCGCTGATCAATCGAATCAAATTAGTTGCATGGAAATAAATGTCGATAAAAGTCATTATTTATTAAATACGTTTCTGAACGAGTCTACGTGTGCGTAAGTTAAAATGTTTCAAATCAACAATGGTAGACTTTCGAATAAATAATAGTACTATTGATTCGATGTAATTAAGGCGCGTTTAGTCAATTTTCTATTATTCAGACTGTTATTCGGTACTGTTATTTAGAATAAATTCTGAATAAATAACAGTAGAATCGTTTTGATGCAATAAAGATGACTAAAATGAAAGAGATTAGCCTGAAAACCAGACTGATAAATTCTATCGAAGAAAGAAAAGCATCGATAAACACATTTCGTAAATACGATAAGTTCAAGAGCAGCTCGATGCTTCGTTGCAAGGCTAAGTAGATGCACTGGTTAATTGCAGAAACAAATTCCGTTATACTTTCGACGGAGTCGATAAAAATACGAGTATAATTCATACGCGACAGATACGTATAACATTCTCCATAGAAACCGTGCGTGATCGATACGAGGAACGCATCTCGTCCATAAATCGTCTCGAAACATTCGATATCCGCGAACTAGTCGGCCGGCTCCGAACATGCGATATAGTCGATCCGGAGGTTTTTCTTCCAAGTAGGTCGCGTATGTATTCGATGTTCTACTTTGTAATCGATACACGGAATTACTTTCTTTGGAAATTTCGATTAATTCGCGTTAGCAAATTCGGATCGCTTGGGGACAAGAGAGATACTAATAAAGAGAGATATTAATAATTTACGGAGATATAATTTGTCAGTGGGGATACATTTTCGATGCGGATCGAATACTTCGCTACTTGTACCCGAAAGCAGACGCGCATAAGGTATGGTTAGTACAGGTACTGCATCAATGTAGTTGCACAAATGTCTCCCACAAAGAAAGTTACATTTTCAATGTCGATCAAGTATTTACTCATTGATATTCAAAGGCAAAAACAGAGAAGTATAGTTAGTAGCAAGCCTCTGAAAGATGTTCGATAAGAATAAATGCGTAGAGATAATAAGAAAAGTTTTATTGGCAAAATTCGTAGAAGCCGATCGCTTCCGTTGGCAGGAGGACCTTACATGGTGTTGGTCGCGCAAGGGGACGGATACGTTCGTTCCTTCATTAATTCAAAGAGCCGCGTGTTGAATCAAGGGCCAAGCCGTGCCATTCAGCGCTTTTATCCGGCTCTGACCCAGCTTTTCGCCGGCGCAAAGGTCGCCAGTCGTAATGGAGGTCAACCGGGGATCGTTAGCTAAGTTTCTTGCTCGAGGAAACTCGCTTTACTTTGTTACGATCATTGGAAAAGAAGAACCTGTAACCTGTTATTTCGAGTTGTTGAAAAATAACTTGGGGACAAGTTTGAGTAAGTTTAAATCAGTGAGTTGGTGGAGTTTCAAGGGACAGATGGTATTAGGATTCGAGACTGTAGTACGTGTATTGGGCTCTAGGGAGATTGGTAAGTGGATATTGAGAACTCGCTTCCTTCGGAACACGTATGCTGCTTCTAATACCGTAGCAGCAATACCTGGTATTAGAATTTCTTTATGCGATTCTCCAATAATTACTTTTAGGATTAGTCATCCAGTAATTGAGGTACTCCGATCATAACTGCTCCTATCCTGACCATAACCGAGAGCACCTGGAGTGGAAAAATGTGCGAGACACCCCGCCGTTAATACCTGAGCCCCGTTTATTAGGGGTCGCTTCGATTACTCACCGAACCGACGACTCGAAAATCCGCTATTCGTAAATTTTCCGAAAAATTACACTCGGTGTCCTGCTGAAAAAGTTTCGTGGAATTTCCGAGGGTAGAAAATAGTCGGATCGGGCAAGAAAAAGAGCGTTTCAGAAAGAAGGGAGGGCCTGGGTAAGTCGATCGGTGCGGATGCAATTAAGAAAATACAGAGGGACGAATGTCTCGGTAAATTTCCACCCCGATTCAACGAGACGTAGAATCGTTAATGAGGCCACGTGTATCTCTGAACAGACAATACAGCTGGAATATGGGACCTGAAACGAGAGCTGAAACGCAGCTTCGAAACTTGAACTCTCTATAACCAAATACTTGTTTCTTTTTTTAACATAAAATCATTGTCACTGTCAATTGTACAAACGTGTCATATTTCCTTTGACAAGTCTCGCGACGTACTCGTAGCTGAAATGTGATATAGTTTACTCAAAAGTATCTTCAACTTGAAATTTAGGTACCATATATTGTAATTATAGCGTTGAACAGTTGGTTTTGACGGACGCATCTGATGAATAAATTATACGGCAAGGGGTTAATTGAAATATCATTCTTGATTCAAGATTTGTGCAACTGTCGGTAGCACGAATATAAACGGCTCATTATCAGATTGTAGCGAGTTAGCCGCAATGCAGACGAAATGAATCTTGATACCTTTGAACACGTGATTCGCACCTGAGAGTTCACAGATAGTGTTACAGAGACTTTGTCTGTTCTTATCAGAGACGTTCAGGTCACGTTCAATCGTTCATGACCAAAGTCAATTTGCCATGAAACGTTTATCTCTGATCGATTCTACTTCTTTAATCCGATCGAATCTTTCAAACTCAATCTATACTTGAAAGCGATTATCGATGGAATTACCGTGATATTAAAATCAAACGAGACAACGCTTTTGAGAGGAAAGGAGAATAAGGAGATTAAATTGTCGAGCGAGGGTTTAACGATGTTTTGTACAAGAATCGCGGTGAATGAAATTTTTTAATGAAAAGTATTTCTGACTCACCGGTTGGTGTCCAGCAGAATAAAATGTTTCAACTACGTTTGGTGGGAAATCGAAAGGGATTATCGAAGGGGTTACCGATCGGTGTCGAAAGATCGTTAACGGAGAGGAGCAAAACGATCCTGGCGATCTTCGTGAACGCGACGATGCGAGGTTCTGTCTTACATCATTCTCCGACGAAAGTTCCGAACCACGCGAAGAGCTGACCAAAAAAGGCAACAAACATGGGTCGACGGTGTGCGATGAACGATCGAAATGCGGCTGCAACGATCTTTGAGTCTAGTGCTGGCAAAAAGACAAGATGAGCTTTTAGAGTGGACATTGTCTGGGGAGATCGATGAACTTAACGGATCTCGTTTATAAGATGTCTGTGCGATGTTAGGCAGATGACTATACAACGTTGAGGAGATGATAGAATCTTCGTAAGGAGATTAGGATGGGGCTTATTTTATTTCGAGAGTATGTGGATTGTTGATCTTTACTTTATGTGGAGAATATGTGCATTTTATAGAGAAATTATCTACAATGTTCATTTTCATTTTGCATAGAAATTATAAAGAATGTTGATCTAATTTGCTAAACATTCGTAAAGAAGTCCCTCCAAATAGCCCCTGTCAATCCCCTATTTTCGTCGAACAATTATTAATAACGAAGTTCACTCTCCAAGAATAGTCGGAATGTTTATTTAATCGATCCGAAGTTTACGTAAGACCCTACAGCAATTTTTCATGCAATAGTCGACCAGCAGCATCGATTTACCTATCGAGTTACAATAAATAGAACGATGAATGACAAATCAAGGCTAATTGAATTCTTTATTTTTACTAAAATATCGATTCATGCATTAGTAATAACTATCTGACTTGAGAGTCTGACACTCTCGATGTTCAATGATTAATCTTACTGAAATTTTTAATAGGCTGACTATTATTTGTTAAGTATTGTTGAACGTTGGAGAGACTAGGTTCATTCGTTTTAATATTGTGGAACTAGCAATGATATTTTAACTTCTATATGCATCTTCGTGATGCATTTCGAGACGCAACTTCATTAAGTTGAGACGCACAATTAATTAATTAATTAATGCGGAGAAAAATGAATGCGGTACGCTACCAGATCGACATAACATTTGAACATTTTTCATGTGTTTTAATAGAGTAGCTCTGATTAGCTAGTTTCGACTGATGCACCTGAGAAATCATCCTTCAAGCGGTTAAGTTATTATTGCCAGTTAGCTTGAATAATAATTCTGAATTAATTAAATGTGCAGCAAAGGATGAACGAGTAAAATATTATAGCGAGCCGGTATAAGTAAAGCGAGTAAATCGAAGCCATCTGGCCGCGTTACGCTCGCTTTCAACGAGTTTGCATTAAGCCGGTGGACACTCGAGATAGTCTCGAGTAGCTTTCGTTCGGTACGGAAGTTCTCTGTTCCCTCGAGTAACATATGGCGTTCTCGAGTAAAGACCGAACCGCTCCTGTCTTCTCTTTGTTCCTCTACGATGCCCTAACTCCGACGTTTTATCCTCCAATAGTACCATCGATTAATTGCTGCTTTCATCGAACCGTACAATGCTCGGAATATCGTTTTCCTCTCGATTCTCAGCCTCGTTTGTATTCCGCGAGCCAACTAATTGCCCGAAACTGACGAGCGATTTATCGACGACGTTCTCCGCCGATGCGTGTTTTCTGCTTATTCTAGACAAATTGACCGGTCGGTACCAGATGAATTCTAGCCCTTTTACTTTCTAACGAATGGTACTTAGAATAAATTACCAAATTCTCAAAGTCCCAAATTCACACGATGAATAAATGAAAAATACTATATTAGTCTGTAGAAAAGTAATCGCATTTACGATTCCGTTTCGGCGATAAACGGACCGCGTCGTTTGTATATCAAGCGCGCCTCGTGCCAAATATTATGACGAAGTCGCAGATGGCTCCGTCGAAAAAGAAGAGGAAAAGAAAATCGTACAACAAAATCGGATACCGATCTACTTTCTCCAACTTGGAAGTTAAATTTTGATAGTCGACGAGCAGTGACACCCTTAGCAACGATATTAATCCGTTAGACTTCTAGTTACTTGACCTACGGCAACGTCCCTCTATTATTAGTCAGCGTTCCTTTCAAATCACCGAAATCACCGAATTTCTTACAGCAACGTTCGACAACGACTACGCGATCGCGATTTTAATCGAATCAAACGAACCGTGTATACCCTGGCATGCAATAATGGCCGGGAACACGTGTCACTTTTACTCTCCCGAGATTCTTTTGTGCGCGACGTACCATTTGTGTGGCCTTTGTACGTGATCCCCTTATTTATTCCTAGACCCGTGTACGACTATATTTCTTGCGGGGATCACTGGCTAACTCTGCCCCAAGGGCTATGTACAGGGACCTGCCAACCATTTTTACCCACGTACTATGTTTTATATTCAGAATACTGCCGGTTCTATGGATTTATTCTGACGGTTCGAAATAATGAAGATTATAAATTTACAAATTCTTATGCCCCAAAATTTCCAAGGTCTCGAATTCGTAAATTTCAAAATTCCCACGCCTCGAAACTTCCAAGCTCCCGAATTCCTAAATTACTAAATTCCAAAATTCCCACGCCCCCGATTACCAAGCTCCCGAATTCTCAACCTGTAGATCCAAATGGGCAAACATTGAAATACCGTGATTTAATATTGCGTCTACAGATCGTGCGAACCGCGTTTAATTATTCCGTGGCTCGCATTCGATGACTCAATGACGGCCACATGGTGGGGCACCCCTGTGGAACGATCGTCCTGGGGTTCGCATCGAGGGCGAGCGTATGGAAGGCCACGTGTGTACTCGCAACCGAGATAAATCTATATACAAGCGTTAATTCTGCTCGCATTTATTCAACGCGTCCGTTCGATCGAAAGCGATCCAGAATATCCGACGAAGATGAAAGTGTCGTTGGCGAAAATATTTTCCCTGAATTTGTTCACTTTTATTTCAGGGAAAATTGTTTCGGAGTCGATTCTCGTATTTTCAGACGAACCGTTCTGCTTTTAACGCTTCCAGATTTACGCATCGACCGACGCGTAAATCAGTCTGGAATTTCTGGCTGTTAAAAGCTCGGAATAAAAAGATCGGTTTGACCATTTAGCTCGTTCATTCTTTTCTTCCCGAATTTCTACTTAAACTTGTTCAAAGTATTTTCAACACAGCTGTGCTTACATTTCGATTATCGATGAAATTTTTGTGTAGATATTTTATTGGATCCCATTTTCAGATACTTTTAAGCGATGAATTCGAGAGAACGCCAAATGCATCGATATTGCCATTAGCACTGGTATTGTTTTCTTTAATTCGCGAGTCAGCCATTTTCTTTGAACAATATCGATAAATCCTTTATGCAGCCATTCTCTTCAGTCCTTGAACTTGAAAATGATGTGCCATAAGTACCATTTTCTGATACTTTTATGTGATGAAATTTTGTGAACATCGCACGTATACAGAAATCGCTTCTTTCCTCCAATTGTCCAT